GTATGCCCCACGTACTCAGTCAGGTGAGGTTTTTGCATTTTGGGCTTCAAGTTTGGGCTTTCTTTTGGGCTTGGGTGTTTGAGTTCTTAATGGGCCATCTAAGTACAAAGTGTTTTGGACTAGGAAAAATGGTTGGGCTTTAGGGTAAGGCCCATGTAAAGGGTTTGGGCCCAATTTGGAAAATTGGGCCATAATTAGGCTTTGGTTGATTATTTGGCTTTTGGGCCTTTCAGATTGTGAGTTTGGGCTTTAGTCTTGGACCAAGCTAGGTTAGGGATAAAATGGTCTTTTTACCCCGAGTATGGATTTATGGTTATGGATTGGAACCCAAATGTTTATCAGGTGTTATTTTGATATTGATAGTTCGGGGATCGTCAGCCAGCAACCAGGGATTATCGGTGTGATTCGGCAGTGCAAGGCGAGTCTCCTCATCGTGCTTAGCGGGTCGAAGGCACCAATGTCGGCCCATGGTTTATTTATGTTAGGATTCTAGATGTCTGTGTGACTCTTGCATGTGTATGTATTGGAATGTATGCTGAGCGGGGCTCAATGTCGGGCAGAGACTGTATTGTGTGCTGTTATCTTTGTGATTATCGCATATGTTGATAGGATTCTGTGTTTGTATGCTGGGCGGGGCCTATTACGTGAGTGTGGGCGGGGCCCATATCTCAGTGGGAGGGGCCCGATATGCGAGTGTGGCGGGGCCCGTATCTCAGTGGGCGAGGCCCGTTACGTGAGTGTGGGCGGGGCCCGTTACGTGAGTGTGGGTGAGACCCGTTACACTTACTGGGTCGGGGCCCATTATGTGCTTAGTTATGTATGGTATGAGGTATCTTGGGGAACTCACTAAACTTTGTGCTTACGGTTTTCAGTTTATGTTTCAGGTACTTCGGTTTTCAAATGGAAGAGCTCGGGATGATTTCAGAGCACACACCACATGTTTCCGCATTCTGTGATTTACTCTGATTTGATGATGTTTTGCTAGATCTTGACTACATTGGTTTTATGGAAATGATATGTATTAACGATTTATTAATCTAAAAATGAAATTTTTATGTCATTATTTTTGGGACGTTACAGATTCGAGAGGCTTACTTGTCAACGAAGACGATACAGTAAAGAACAAGAAGAATGACAAACCATAGGAAATACGGTAGCACAACAACATTGATCAGCAGATGGAATCGTTTGGAAAATACCGAGTGGAGATATATATAATCGATGAGAGGACATAATCATAGAAAAGATCACGTAGATGATTTTTTTTTTAATTCTCAGTATCGCAAAGATAATAAGAGGACAATTGTATAATTTAAAACAAAGATAAAGAATTAAATTTAGATTATTGTTAGACGGTGGAAGAATTCGAAGTCTTTCAAATAGGGAACTAAATGGACATTATGGAAATCTAGTTCTATTCATCTTGTAAGCCAAACACGTTTTCCATAGGATTTTAGTTTCCAATTCCTTTCCTTAGGAATCACGCAGAACAAACACACCCTTAGATTATCGGTCCTAGGCTCATCTATTTATAGGGAAGGTTTAGAACCTTTATGGAATAATTACTTGGTCACTAAGTAATTATCTGTAAAATTTGACTTTTAAATCTTTACACTTAAACCCCTCAAGTCTACAAGTTTTTGTTAATTAATTAACACTTAATTAATTAACAAATTAGATCCCTATTATTCTCTCATATAATTAATTGCTTAAATCTGTCATTACATAAAACCCAAAAAGACTCTGCAATTAATATTAATATTATCAACTGTTATGACTATTAATATTATTTCCAACAATCGGTAGAAGGTTTTTGATTTCCGGAGATATGCCGATAACTTTGTGTACCTCTAAACATGTTGGAAAAAATTTGGCACCATAACTTGTATTTTGATATGTCTAACATTTAGTTTGAAACTAAATTTATTGTAAACATTACTGAAAGAATAAAAATAAAACAAAGAGAGAACAAATGAGACTTAGAGTGGAGGGAAGAAGAGTTGATGATGAGACAATAATAACCATAACTTCGAGATGCAACAGTATGATATTATTACCAATATCAGATCAGAAAAAGCAAAGAACCGTGAGAAATGGAACCATAGCAAACCAATCTTTAGACGTCGGTAGGTTATGGCAGTCAGAGAAGACTACATCAATAGATCACGCATGGTGCAGAAGAGTAGAGATGGATGTGAAATTTTCTTTTAATCGATTGTATGTAGGGTAACAAACGACTAACCCTAACTTGATACTATGTTGGATTGTAAAAATCCCTATGCATTAATATATTTCAGTATATATAATAAAGAATGTTACAAAATGAACCCTCTACTATACATGACTAAATAAATAAAAATATTATTTAACAATAATAACCCTTTTAACATATGCACTAATTATTTAAATACCATAATATAAACAATTTAATATATTAACTATTTATAAAGTTTAAAAAATAAAATAAAAAAGCTATCATGAATATACACAACATTAGGGATGAACTTTTTGTAACCGAAACCTGGTCTGAAACTAGATTACTCAAAACAAGTTTGGTTATCGGTAACTGGTAACTGGATATCAGGTTAGGTCTGTCGGTTACAGGTCCATCAGGTTTAGGTTAAATCAGGTCTAGTCTCGGAACTGAAATTCGAATGGGCATGTTTTTGATGTTGTTGCATGTGTCAAATTAGACATGTTCATGCTAAAAACTAAACCTCTTGCGTATGGCTGTAGTTAACCTATTGCAAAAAAAAATTTGCTTTCTCTTTTAATTGAGATCGAATAGGTTTGATCGGCTCCAAAAAAAATCCTTCATCACAAAGTTACCAGACTGTTGAAATAAAATAAATAAATAAACCAAAACAGCCCCTAAAAAAATAAAAATAAATAAACTAAAACAGCCCCTATTTATTATCGTTATATAGCGGGATAATGACTTAAAAGAGTAACATATTATTCGATTTGTATATATTTGGTCACTGAATTTTTTTTTCGTCCACATTTACTCCTTAAACTTGTTAAACTGTACACATTCAGTCCTTACGACCTGTTACTCCAGGTTAGCCGGAAAAAATGACTTGATAGGGTAATATATTTTTCATTTTGTACACATTTAGTCATTAATATTTTTGTACATATTTAGTCCTTAACATTTTTTTTGTTTCAAAATAAGTCCTTTTTTTGTACTCATTCAGTACTTATGGATGATTTCTTTAGGTTTTTTTCACGACATCTTACGTGAGACAATCATTGATGATGTGTTTGGGGTTGTTGATGCTTATGTCCAATGCGATCTCGACTGCTTGGTTGCGTAAGTCTTGTGGTTTGGCTTAGGTCTTGTATTTTGAACAACGTAACTTCTTCATACGATATCAGATTTTAAGGATCTTTATCAACGTGTTCATTTTTTGAGTCTACTACAACTTTCATTAAAATTACTCCCGTTAAAATGTAATATATTTTTACTAACGATTTTATAAAAAAAATATACATACATGCATTCATAAAAAACGTATGGACAGAGGAAGACGCAGTAATACATAGTAGGTGTTGCCGAGATAAATAGGTGTTGCCGATACATGGAAAATATGTATAAACGTAAAAAAAAAAGCGAAAAATTTTCCACTGCGAACAGAAAAAACAGGTGTTGTCGGTGCAACACCGGGACCATACTAAATCCGCCACCGCGTATGGATATAAAAATCGTTAAGTAAAAATATATTATTTTTAATGGGAGTAATCTAAATGAAAGTTTTAGTAGACTAAAATACGAACACATAAATATAAAGATCGTTAAAATCCGAGATCATATGAAGAAGTTATGACGTTCAGAACACATGACCTAAGCAACCAAGTAGTCGAGATCGCGATGGATATAAGCATCAAAAGCCTCATACACCTCATTAATGAATGTCTCACGTAAGATTTCGTGAGAAAAAACTAAAAAATCATTCATAAATACTGAATGAATACAAAAAAAAATGACTTACTTTGCCAAAAAAAAAAGGACTATATGTGTACAAAAATATTAAGGACTAAATGTGTACAAAGTGAGAAATATATTACCCTATTAAGTCATTTTTACCAGGTAACCTGGAGTAGCCGGTCATAAGGACTGAATGTATACAGTTTAACAAGTTGAAGGGGTAAATGTGGACGAAAAAAAAACTCAGTGACCAAATGTATACAAATCGAAAAATATATTACCCTTTTAAGTCATTATCTCTTATACAGTATTTTCTTTTATACTAGTAATGCCTGTAATGGTAAATTAATTGGAGATTGGTTCCTGTACATATTGGAGTACAAATCATTATGTTGTAAAGTGTGCATTAATGGTTGCATAAATATCAATAACTGGATCCGAAAATTGTCACGTACCTTGAACAAGTCAATACATTAAAGACATTAACTCATTTATTTCTACATTTGGCCATTTCCCGTTCCAACCCCAAATCCAGTTCCAAACAGTCCATATTGGTTCCAAATACTGTTTACCCGGGGACCCGTATTTGGAAACCGAATCAGAACCTAATATCAGTCCAGTTCCTGGTCCCACTAATATTCAAATTCCGGTTTTTGGGGCTATTCGGGTCGGGTCTTGACCATTTACATCCGTGTTTTTTACCACAGAAAATTATCATTTATGATTTATCCAAGTCCCATATACTCGGTTTGGATCTTGATTACGAAGTTCTTGAGGAAAAAAGTCAAAAACAGATCTTTGAACCGATTTTTTAAAAACAAAAATCAAATCGGAAACAATATCATTATATACTTTATGTCTTTTAAATTCGAAAAATCCTAAATTTATATTCGGTTCATAGTCCATTTTTGAACTGAACCGGTTCGAACCGGGTCCACTACCCAGTGGATAGTTGGGCACCCCTCGCCACCTAAATCCGAAATCAATGAAACCAAACAGACAAAAAGTAGCCTACAAATTAATTTCGAATTTTAATGGAAACAACAAACTACTACAACTATAACAAAATAATCTAAATACACTGAAACTTATGCAAAAAACAGCTAGAAGGCAGCTTAATTGAGAAAGAAGAAGGCAGGTGCCCTGTTCTTCTTATGTAATCTGCTCTTTCAGAAGTTTTCACTGCCTGTTCATTCAAATTCACCTCCGCTTTCGCTCTTTTCTCTTCAGCAATCCTCCTCGTTGATGCAAGTTTGTTCGTATACTTCTCTTGTGCTCGGGATTTCAATCTTTCTGCCTTGGCCTAATCAAGATTTCACAAAAATAAAATTACAAAAGAATATATAAATAATCATTGTGTAGATCTTTTGACTCTGTAAAAGGGTTATTGTTCCAACAACTCTGTCGTGTTGTGTCCAAGGAGCATAATGTGATGTGAGATTTAGATCAGTTACACAGTGGCCCATAGGTGGCTGGCATAAAGCCAGACAAAAAGTCCAAAATCCACATTGGAATTGAAACTCTCACACTGCAACTGTTGAGACTCGAATCTTTGATTTTTCCACAAGTATACCACCTTGGAACCAACTGCAAATTCATATTCATATGATTTGGATGAGCATTAAGATCAAAATGTTACCTCCATTCTTTTCATTTCCATTTCGGCTTTCCGCTTTTCGTGATTCTCCCATGCCTGTATCTTCACTTCTTCGCGTTTGTATCTACCGATCATCACCATAAAAACATACTATTAAGTCTTCACGTACAATTTCATTAAGTAAAGAGTTTTTAGGATTTTATGGATGAGCGTTTTGAAAGATATTGTAATTTGAAGAATCATAATCAAATAATTGGATACTTATGTAGCTATGGGTGGTTAGGTAATTTTATTTGGGTTAAATACAAGAAATAGCAATATACTTTTGTTTCTATCACAACATTGTACTGACTTTTGTTTTCTTATTAAGGCATTGTAAATCGAAAAGCCTAACAAATTATAGTATTGTACTTTTCTTTTTTCCAATCAGGATATTACACTTTCAAAATTCTACCCAATTATAACACTGAAAATTGCTTTGTATCCGGACAACATTGCTACAATTACATATATTTTTCAATGTACAATGTTGTAACAAGACAAAATGCAAGTAATATGATACAATAAATAAATCAATGAAAGTAAGTTGCTATATCTTTCATTTAATCCGTTTTATATTTACCTCAATAATTAATTTTCTGAGACCAACTTCTTACTTGTTTTTTCATACCGGATTGATCTTAAATCATTAGAAAATCAAAACTATTATTAAACACTGTAAACCGATTATTGCAACATCACATCAAAATAATTAGTTTAAAAGCTCATCTAAACACCCCCTTAATCACCCACCGTATAAATGGGTTTTCTATAGAAAAGCACACAAGTTAAATCACATATGCTATAGATGAATTCGGTAAAAGGGCTAACAAGATCTAAATGAATTTAAATTGAGGTTTTCATAAAAAGCATACGAATTCCATAAAAGGGTTGAAAAAAATGGTGTCACCTTGCCATGTACTTTGCACGTTCTGCTTCATCCCAAGCCATTGCTCGGTTTTCAAGAGGATTAAGCTTGTTTTCAGCCACATTCTCAGCATTATTTGGGTCGACCCTTTCTCGCCCAAATCTTGTGGGCCCACCAACATCAGCACCATTTGGTCTAACCGGAGTCGAAGACCCAGAGGCTACAGGGCTCATGGCTCGAACCGGTGTAGCGGTTCTTGAAGGCTCCTGGCTAACCATAGGAGTCATTTCGGTTCCCATATCTCTAACACAAATCGATCTAACTATTGTCCCAGGGTTCTCATTAGATCTCCACAATGAATCATCATGATCCATTTTTTTTGTTTCGATTCCTCCATCACCTCCTTCCTCTTCGCTACTTGGGTACTCTTTTTTAGGAACAGGTGCTATTAATCTTCTATCATCTGCGTTTGAGTTACGTGGTGGCGCGTGGTTTGAGTGAGCCTTGTCTCCGCCTCTAGATAACTTGACTAACCATTTCTGGGCATCGTCCCATTTTGATGGTGTCGGTTTGCCTAGAGCTGTACGGTGGCGATGACCACCACCACCGCCGGCGCCGGAAAGTTCATGAGTTGACACAGGATTCACGCAACCCTTGTCGTCGACTGACCTCATCTTCACTGATCACTACCCTCGAATCAAAGATTTCAGCAGCAAACTTAAGACGAACTTTTTTTTAATGGATTAAAGAAAAATACCCATATTCTAGATTGGTAAAAAGATCAATATTAACAAATACAACTACAAAGATCTAAACACATTGACGCTTTACAAGTAGGAAAAACAGGAACCTTAAAAGCCTATCAACTTCAAAGTGGAAGAACTGAAGTAAACCACTAAGCCACATGCATTGGCCAATTAGTTTAAGATTCGAGTGAATCAGTGGAGCGAGAGGCTGAAGACTTGCAGAAATTGACAGTTTTACTCGGATCAAACCTCGCAATTAAAAAATATATTTATTTTTTAATCAAGAATCTACTATATGCTTTCTGAAAAAATGCTTCACAGAGATGCAAGTAGGCTGTTTGATAAAATGACTCAGAGAAACAAGAGAACACCCAAATGCAGAAGTATGATGAATGTGCATGCTAACTTGAAATGCAAAAGAGCCAAGACACAGAGGGTTTGATTGGGGACAGATTTTAAAACTTTTTTAAATATGAGAGTAAGAAATCTGCAGAGAATAAAACCTTGAAAGTAGGTATTGATTTTGAGAGTTGCAGGTTATAATAAAATAATGGAGAGATAGCGATCTGATCCACCAAACAATGAGAAAAAACAAGGAATTTCTAAGTTGATTTTTCCAATGATGGTTAAAATTAAATGAAACCCAGAGGAAAACAACAATAAAAATCAAATCTTTTGGCATAGAGAGTTGCAAACTTTAATTACTACTTACTACCTCCATTGAATCTTGGGAAGTGTTTCATGACACTATATATCATTATATATTGTTGTACTGGCTCTGTTCTTCATGTAAGATGATGTTGGGGGCAGTAACATATTACCTCATTTTTTGTGCAGCTGATATTTTTAAAGAAATCGTACATTTAGGTTTAAAGTGTATTTGGTTGTACAGTTTTTAAATTTTTTTAAAATATAATAGATGAACAACAGGTCAGACCCGGATTGGACCGGTCCGAAAACCGAAAATCATGAATTCGTTTATCCGAAACCGGACCGTTTTTGGGTGTATCGGGTCCGGTTTCAGGTACTAGACTGGGTTTCGGGTTTTTGACCGAATTAGACTTTGACAGTGTTATTTAATAGAGATAATGACTTAAAAGGGTAATATATTTTTCGATTTGTACACATTTGGTCACTGAGTTTTTTTTTTCATCCACATTTACCTCTTCAACTTGTTAAACTGTACACATTCAGTCTTTATGACCGGTTACTCCAGGTTAGCCGGAAAAAATGACTTAATAGGGTAATATATTTTTCATTTTGTACACATTTAGTCTTTAACATTTTTTTTGTTTCAAAATAAGTCATTTTTTGTACTCATTCGGTACATATGAATGATTTCTTTAGGTTTTTCTCACGACATTTTACGTGAGACAATCATTGATGAGGTGTTTGGGGTTGTTGATGGTTATGTCCAACACGATCTCGACTGCTTGGTTGCGTATGTCTTGTGGTTTGGCTTAAGTCTTGTATTCTAAGCGTCGTAACTTTTTCATACGATATCATATTTTAACGATCTTTATATCCACGTGTTCAATTTTTCATTAGATTATTCTTGTTAAAATGTAATATATTTTTATTTACGATTTTATAAAAAAAAACATCCACACATGCATTCATAAAAAACGTATGGACAGGGGTAGACGCAGGAATACATAGTAGGTGTTGTCGAGATGAAATAGGTGTTGCTGATAAATGAAAATAGGTAGAAACGAAAAAAAAAATCAAAATTTTTTCCACTGCAGATAGAAAAAACAGGTGTTGCCGGTGCAACATCGGGACCGGGCTAAATCTGTCCCTGCGTATGTATATAAAAATCATAAGTAAAAATATATTATTTTTTAATGGGAGTAATCTAAATGAAAGTTGTTGTAGACTAAAATACGAACGCATAGATATAAATATCGTATAAAGAAGTTTTGACATTCAGAACACATGACCTAAGCAATCAAGTAGTCGAGATCGCGATGAACATAAGCATGAAAGGCCCAAACACCTTATTAATGAATTTCTCACGTAAGTTTTTGTGAGAAAAACCTAAAAAAATCATTTATAAGTACTTAATGAGTACAAAAACAAAAATGATTTATTTTGCAAAATATATATATATATATATATATATATATATATATATATATATATATATATATATATATATATATATTAAGGATTAAATATGTACAAATATATTAAGGACTAAATGTGTACAAAGTGAGAAATATATTACCCTATCAAGTCATTTTTACCAGTTAACCTGGAGTAGCCGGTCATAAGGACTGCATGTGTACAGTTTAACAAGTTGAAAGGGTAAATGTGGACGAAAAAAAAACTCAGTGACTAAATATGTACAAATCAAAAAATACATTACCCTTTTAAGTCATTATCCCTATTTAATATTTGAATTCAACTAAATTCTTCCATTATGGAGAATGTAAAGAGGTTGTTTTCATGAAGCATTTTTCCAAATCAATTTTAAATGTAAGTATTATTCTGGCTTTTGTTTGAATTCGGTATATATGTTGGGTTCGTGACGTACTTAATATTATAATAAGTCATTTATGAGCTTGATATGGTATAATAATAATAGCACTTTGATTAGTTTTTAACGAGATGAAATATTTTGAAGATTTACATAACTATAAGGTTTTCGTGTAAGATAGTAAAGTAAAATGTAGAGATTTAACTAGGAAGTTATAATGAAAACTTGATATAAATGTAATGTAATGTTAAATGGATTTCAAACATAATTTAAATGGATTATTAAAACGATAATTACAAAGTGATAAAGCTTAGTTGTAATTATTTTAATTAAACCAAGCTTTATGTCAAGACTTCATACATATCAAAAGTGCTCATTTGATGTTTGTAGATAAACTTACGTCATTGATCATTCGTATTTTGTTTATCTTATCCGTTCTTCGTAAATAATGTTGAATTTGGCCAAAATATTTTCGATGATCCATATTTTATATTTTAGAAATCTTGCAATATAACATTAATTAAGAATTCAACGTCATTGTCTATATATCTAAAACTTATGTTGATATATTTAAAACTTATGTTGATATATATAAAATCAATTAAGGTGAAAATATTTTCCGGTCCGGTCCGGATTAAATCTTGTATTTCGGGTACGGTCTGGTCCAGACCCAAAACCCGATTATTGGTAAAAACAAAACCTGAAAATTGACCCACTAATATGAATATCCGGACCAGCTCCGGTCCCAGTTTTTTTCCGGTTAGGTCCAACGTATCGTCTGTTCATCCCTACTTTATAGTGTTTTTTATTAAATGTTTTTAGTTCCGAGTACCTGGTTCTCTATGCTCATATAATGATTTTTTGTTTAATTTAGGATTAATTTTTGCAATAAACCGATAATACAAGTTATACAAAGAACAGAAAATTACTATATTCACCACCTTTTAAGTTGAAGATTTTTTTATAAAAACTGTTATAAAGAAGATCTTTTTAAGGGTAAATTAATTAAAGTTATTATGTTTTTTTTGTTACCTTGACACTATTTTATTGTTTAAATTAAGACATTGGTTTTTTCAATTTGTTTCAAACTTAACCACTTACCTGTTCATTCGGTTTTCAGCTGACATGACATGCTGATATGTCATTATTTATTGACATCACATTTGGGATGTCAAAATCGAAAAAAAGAAATGTAGTGATGTTTGTAATATCCAAAATATAATGAATCTGTGCAATTTGTTTTCCCTCATAATAATGAAAATTCCAACAAAACAAATCATCAATGTACTTTTTAATGTTAGACAATATACATGTTTCTTAGATGTGTTAAATGTTACTTTTTAATAATAATGACCGACTAATCCTTATGTATAATCCTTTTTCCTCAACCCAAAAAATCTACATGTTTTTAGCTCTTATTTAATTCCTCCATTTTTTTCGTACAGGGTAGAGGTTGTGGTCACATTTTACCTTTCATTTTTTTTGTCACCTCAACACCATCTCATTTTCACATCACCACTTCACTTTCATTTCACTCTTCTCTCACTCTTCAAAATCCAGGAAATAGTCACATTTCATTTCACTCAACCTCATTTTTTTTCTTTTTAAATAAAACTACTATAACTATAATTTTATAAATAAATACAAATAATTAAATGAATAGTTTGTAAACACATGATTAATAAAAATCCTAATATTTCATTATTTGAAAAAAGAAAAATACATAATAGAAAAAAAATGATGAATTAAAGGAAAACAAACTATGCCATCAAATCTGGCCGATATATTTTTTTTCCTAATCCCCCCTTCATCATCAAGACCATTTGGAGGTCGTCTTCCGAAAAAAGGTCGGTATTTTTTATAAAAGAATTCATATATTCTATACGGTGTTTTTCCTCGCGCCCTTTTTTCGGCAAAATTTTCATTTTCAAATGTCAAACGTTCGGTGAAATTCAAGTTATATTGTTCAAAGCTCATTACCATTTTATGCATTTCTTTCAATTCGTTGCTGAATCCCGGTACATTTGAGGAAGACCCCTTCCCTTTCATTTTTTGCTTTGTCCGTACCCATTGGATGAACAATTTCTTCTAACTAAAGCTTGCCATCTTCATTCAAATCGATCCCAAACGAATAAAATAAAATGAACTTATGTATTTTTGTGTTGTTTAGTCGAAGGATAAAAACAAAGTAAAATTACATTACTTCCAACTAACTTTTTGTGTGTGGTGTGTTGAATTAAGCAAAACGAATACAATAATTTTGTCATTGTAGAGGACATAATCTCCCTTGAACCAAAGTTCTAAGGTACATGACCAAAATACCATTAACTTAGTATCTTATTACAGAAAGAAAAACAAAGTCAAGAAAAAGTTAAACTAACCTTATAAGTACATCACTACTAAGGCTTCTTTCTCCTAGTGTGCCCTAACTAACTTACTAAGGTACATGATTCAAATAACCACATCATTTGAACTTGCTTTTTTATCTACATACAAAGCAACAAGGGTCAAACCATGGTTCAAGCTCATATGGATGTATGGTTTGAGCTTATGTAGACTGATAAATGTTTTTGGGTTGGAGAAACCAAGATGCATCAAAGGGCTGCATATAAGGATTAGTTAGCCATTATTATCATATTATAGCAGTCAAAACACTAGACATAGGAACTCCCTAGTCTAGGATGTGTGTATATTGTATAACGTTAAAAGGTATTGTACTATCCTTAACATTTTGGATGATTAGTAATGTATATGAATTTAGGGGTATTTTGGTCAAACCAACAAAAGTTATCAAAACTTAAGTACCAAGTTTTGATTAATGCATTGTGTATGTTAATATGATTCTTATAAATTGTTATTATGATCATTAAAATTGGATGCATATCATTTTTGTGTGATATTGGATTCAAGGGTAAACATGAAAAAAAATCTATAAGAAATAGAATGTAGGTAATTACACGATGTGTAATTATAAGTTTACGCGATGCATAAAAGGTATGTGAATAATAATATAAGTGTTTTGACATAACATAGTGAAGTATGATTCCTAAGTAGGAGGATAGCTAAAATGTGACGCATAACATTAACATATAAAGGGTATGAACATACTTTATGTGACACATATCATAAAATCAACACGTCGTGTTTGAAAGTATGATACTGACTCAAGAGGATGAGAACATGTCGCATAAATGTTGAATAATGTGATGCAACTTAACACCAATGTGACGCATTAATGCTAATGTACGCGACACATCGAACCGAAAAAACAGAACATGGCTTAAGCATGGGGGGTTCAACGGTCTCATTTTATCACTCACTCGCTTTCAAGAGCTCCCAAGTGTGAGTTTGCAATTGAAAATCCAAATTCTTGAAGTAAATCCGAGGAGGAAAAA